CAAACATACTTTTTGGATGGCGGTGAAGCCGGGAGCATGATGGAGGCGGCATCTCGACACAACACCGGGAAATTTTCGTAGCTTAGGTAGTTGTCTTCTTCCTGGAATTAAAAAGAGGGAGAGAAAGAGAGAAAAAAACGTAAATTTTACATCAGAAAATGTCATTTAAATTTATTTTAAACAGTCGATTTTTTTACCAGCGAACCCTCCCAAAAAATAAAGGTCGCTATCGACGGGAGGACGGTGTCAGCCAACGAGAATTGAGCCACAGTGGCTTCTCTTAGTCGTACAAGAGTTTCGTATACATCTACATTTTGGCGTAGAAATTCTATTATTACATGCAATTTTTTATTTACGACATGTGTTGCCATTTTTTACTAAAAGAAGATTGCATTTAATTGCTTGTAATCCATTAAATACAATGAACAGAGAGATAAAACCATTTCTTAAGTTTTTTCCTACAGGGGGATAAAAACCGGCAATGGGAAATTGCATCGTCATTCAAACTGGTGGTCGCGGTTCCTAGCTCGTTTGATAAGCGTAAGAAAAAAGTTTACAATAAAAGCAATATAAACAGGTGAGCGTTACTGTGATCTAGGCAAAACTGACATCAATTGCAAAAAGAAGGAAAAACTAAGAATAAGGATAAAGCTCTATGTGCCTTAAGCATGCACTCCGGTAGGTTGAAACTGTTTTTCCGAGATGGTGCTGTCTAAGCAGTACATCATTCTGCAATGCTGTATGTCAAGTCAAGTTTATAAGCTGTTAAAAACTTAAGGGAAATCTTGGCCTTGAATGCTTACCCGAACAACAAGAGGGAGCCTGCTCACGTGTGAACAGGAAGTGCAGCCTCTTAACTCAAGAGTGGTATGTCAAGTTAAAGTTAAGTGCTTTTATCAATAGATTATCAGAGGATCTATATTAGGGCTGCGGAAAAATGACTATTAATTCAATATTTATCAGTAGGAACGGCTTGGAAACTAAAATTTGATAGCATTTTGTTTTGAATAAGGGTATGGGCATGATTTTCAGTTGAACATGCCTACCGAGCGTAAAAATCGCATCCAGTCTGAGGATTAATGAGAGAGGGAAAATTTTATATATTTAGGCATGACAAAATTCAAGGGAACATTGGTACTTAGAAATAACATCTCATAGGCATGGAAAAAATGGGTTCATGCCCTCGCAGCCCAAAATTGACCCAGCTAAACTTAGGTCCCAGATCTCT